TAAAGGGGGAGGAGGGGCGCCAGCAGGGTAAAAGGGGAGGGGGGGGGGGGGGCGCCATTGGAACTGTTTGCCCTGGGCGCCAACATCCCCAGAAACGGCCCTGGGAGAAGGCATCAAGCCAAATGTAATGGGGGGGGGGGGTCCTTCCGATTTTGACTCATTTCTTTTTATTATGCTCCAAACATATACGGGAAGATATCGTGTACCCAAACCGTGGTATCAGACAGCAACATCATCTCAGGGGGCATGGAGGCACGATGCAGAAACAAGAATGGATTTCATACCAATAATTTAGGTTATGCAAAATCCACATCCAATGAGTCACATCCGGCGACTCAGCTCAAATTGAATCAGAAGTGCAAAAGAATGACCCACTTTCATCAGCTCATTGAAACCATTTTTATTACCATCGGAACGAAACCCCCTCGCACCATGAAGTCAGATGTGCGAGGGAGAAAAAACCTACATCTGAATGTCTGACAAATGCATCTAGTCAAAAGCCACACACAGGAATGAGTGGACCTAAAACTAACATACAGGAAGAGCCAACTAGGCTCACAGATGATGTCTCCAGCTCCAATAATGAATGGGAGAAAAAGCTTCAGGTTGGTAGTCAGAATTTGTCTTACAAGACAATAAAATAAGCATTAAGCACTTTCACAGTGTGAGCTACTGATCAAAGTCTCTAGTAGAGACAAATTTTTTCATCCAAGGTCAAAATAAATTTTCACAACCTAGAAGAAAGACTGCTGGCAACTCCTTAGATCCTTGACTGATCAAGACCTGCTACTCTTCAAGCTCATGATATTCAACAAAGCACCATTTGAATTGACAGGAAACTATTCATACAAGATGAGAAAACAAAAACCACTTTTGGGTCTCCAACTACTTTCATTACTACTAACTTCTATCATTGATTTTCATTCATGCTTTCACTTTGTACAGCTTCAGATGGCTTTGGAGTTGTTCCTAAGTGGCAAGATTCTGATCTTGGAGACCACATTACTTCGTGCTTGTCAGTCTTTGGCTTCCAGCAAAGGCTGAGAGATCCATAGCTCAACACAACACACTTTTGAAGTACCTCATTCAACTTCCCTCTCTCAAGAGCAATACTTCCCACCATTTTTGGAAAGCAGTTCCTCTTACTCTATGAGCTACAAACACCATTCAGGTAAGTCTTTCTCAAGCAGGTGCATAGTTCCCTTTAGGCGTGTAGAAGATCTGGCCATTCAGGAGCCGACGCCGCAGTTCGGCACCCAGAAGTCGACGCTCCTTCTGTACCTTCTCCAGGACTCCCTTGTTCTCAGCAGCCCGACGAGACAGATACGGAAGAACCTCGTACACAGGGCCGTAGGGGACATACTTATACACTGAGTAGCCAGCTTGGCCTAGGGAAAGAGCATCACATCCTCAGAATGAAGCAACTCTCATAAGTGGCTTAAATTGTGAAATGGAAGTGTAAGTGCAAATGTGAAAATGAATGCAAATCAAAGCCAGAATTATTTGGCATCTTTATCCCTTTCTCATTCATTAATTACCAATTGTAAAAGCAAGTAAAAAGAACGAAAAGTCAAATCCTTGAAGATCTATATGAACTTCATCTGAGTGAGCAACAGTACTCCTAATTGCTCTTCAGCCCTCTTAGGATACCCTGAAGCATAAAACTCACCCAGAGGAAAGCTGACCTGATCACACATGCCATAGAGTTGTCCAAAGCATACTACTCGATCAAGAGGATGGATTCCCAGTTCCAGCATCCTGAACAGAAAGCCATGTAACATAGATGGGAATTTCTAAAGAACTCAGCTCAAGAACCACACATACTTTTGGACAGTGAATCTGACGGAATCCTCATTGTGTGTTGCCACCATAACAGCTACACGTTTCTCATCCTCGGCATCCTTGTACCGCTTGATGCGGTTCAAGCATTCCATCAACACCTCATGATACATGGCCGATGTAGCCTCGTAGGTTGGATTGATTGGGTCATCGTAGCCCAGGGCTGCTGCTCGAGCCCTTTCCTGAATGTTACAAATGTTTTTAAAATAAATACAATGCATAGTTTTCAATAGCATGGAGCATTTAAGAAGATAGTTACCTGTTCCATGTAGGCCCCTCGAACAATTTTGGCCCCAAAGAAAAATCCTTGTCGTTCAGCCTGTTCCAGATCAAATTTGATGTTTTCCAGGGCAGCCTTTAGGTAACACTGATACGTATTGAAGAGGATTGCCTTTGAAAATATAAAAAAATCAATCTTCAGGTAAAATACACATAACATGGATGTAAAAATTCATATTAAAAGAGGGGACTGCTTGTACATGCAACATAAAACAAAGACCAAGGAAAACCATCAGAGATCATACTCGTTCCCGATTATATTCTCGCATCATCTCAATCGTCAGTCGAGAAATAGCTGGTTGGAAGTATGATTGCTCTGCATCAATCATGACCCGTACATCACGTTCAGATGCAAACTGCACAGTGATAATATGTAAAAGGTTGAGGAGTGAATCTATATGAGCTTTGTGAAAGATACTAGAACAGGAAAGAAAAACCTGGCATATGTTGTGAAGCCGTCGCATCATGTTGCGGAACATCTCCTCCTCGTCGTCACTGAGGGCTGAGATGAGTGGCTGCCACCGCCCAGTATGAAGGTTTGGAACTCGAAAAAGCTCTGACAGCAGCACTTCATTATGGATCAGTCCACTCCAAGAAAACAAGTTTATCAGCCTTGAAACAAAATCGATTTCAATGTTAGATCAGGGTGGTGTACAGTGTATTTCTAGAAGAATCCTTTTCCCCACCCCTTCCTGTCATAGGTGAGTTGATCCAGGAACTTCTGGACAGGAGCTGTATGACGGATGTTGGCTTCCTCAAATTTCTCCTCCAGTTCTTCTGGTTTTATAGCTTCCTTAATGATATTTCCCCCATTCTGAACAGGATGGTCACCAATAACCTCACGGAAGTACAGTCTTGCTCGTACTATCACCTCTGATAATTGCAGCTACAACAATAAAACTTGACATCAGTAAGCAAGGCAGAAAGTATACACACAGTACAAGAACGCTGGTTGAGGCCATCAGTTGGAAAAATACAGGGTGGTTAAAAAAACAAAGCTATCATTTTGGTAAGCTGTCAATCTGATTGTAGATTGGAAATTATGATTAAATTTAGTAGGCATATAGGGTGACTCAATTCAGGTTTGTGTGCTGAATTTCAGCTTGCTGGCTCTACAATGATGGGAGATGCTATTATTTTCTGATGACCCACGACAAAACGTGCTCTTGAAAATAACAATATCAACTTCAGGTCTGTATTAATAGAAAACATGATTGCCTGCCACAATAAACTAAGGTAGTTTATAAGCTATGGTAGGCTAAGGTCAACCTACTTCCAATAAATTAATAAATAAAAGCCTAAGCTAGTTTGCCGATTATTAAGTGGAGTTTAATATTCTCTAAAATTTTTAAATCTTTCTTTCCATGAATTTAATGCGAAAGTGCTATGTCAAAAATGCCTAAAATAAGTGATGAAGACTGTGTTCTTATTTAAAAAAAAACTTTCAATTTGAAAAAAGGTAGGAAAATGAAATGAAGGAAATGCATGAACTTCCAAGCAAAAATTGGTCACAGAGTGGGCTTGAATATGTCATCTGAAAAATTGATACAGGTGGCAAAATTTTTAGTTTCAATAAAAAAAAAGATGAACACTTACTTTTTGTGATAAAAAAGTATATTTACCACCAGTCTCGCTTTTTTTTTAAATTTGACCTGAAATTCTGCAAATAAACCCCAATTAAGTCACCCTATATGCCCAATAAATTTAATCAGAATCGCTAGTCTACAATCAGATTGACAACTCACTAAAAATTTTAGTTTTTTCTTTGGACCATCGTGTATCAGTCACCACGACTTTGGAATTGAAGTATGATTTTGGATACCAGAAGAACATTCCAGGCCTGATTATATATATTAATACATACTGGCTCTGAGGGAATTCCTCCAATGAACTGCAACTGATGGCTCCAAGAGAAGCAAGAAGAAAAATATTAACCATGCTTTTCAAACATCACTGAATTCCATGCTATAGGCATCAGTGCAAGAGATGTTCAAGACAGCATAAAAAAGAAAGTCTATGAAAGTCTGATGAGGGTATTTATACCACATGATGACCTGGCCACCTACAATTTGATGACTGCTTACTTTGATTAGTTCAAGAGACATGCCATGTGGATCTACTCCAGCATGGCCCACAGGTGTGAAATACACTCTGGGGTCACCTCAGCAACATTTTCAAGTGGAAGCTATTTACACAGCAGATGTTGAATGTGGAGTCAGGCCCAAGTAGTCCCCTTCAGTTGACAGGTTTTGCAAAAAAAAAAGAGAGAAATATTACAACCTAGGTCTCCTGGTAAAATCCTATGTCCACCTTTTTCCTATGTGGCATTTGATGGTAACTGACTTAGACATTCTTATCAACAATGAAAAGAGAGAATCCCAGCTTCCCAAATGAAACATGGATAAATTGAGGAGCTCTATGGAGAATGGCCTAAGAGCAATTATGCAGTTCACCAATAAAATAAAATGGCACTGGCCCCCTATCATCAGGTGGACCATTGAATAACTACTCCAGAGCATGTGAATGAAATGAAAGGCTATCATGCAACATTCTTGGTTCATTTTGAAAAAAATCACTATAATTCAATAGCATCATAAAATTTCATGAAGTTCTGCCTATGTTTGCTATAAGCAAACACCTTTGAAATATTAAGAAGACAGGAAGAAAGAAACATTTACTTCAGGGTTATTGGCACATACAACCTATATATTGACTGGCATATAAGAAAAGTGTGAGAGGAACAACAACCTTCCTCATCATATTGACCTGCTATGTTCAAAGTGATCCCATTGAAAACTCACATCTCCTGTAATTGTTCTCATTTTCAAGGAAGAACGATATCACTGAACAAATTGCTCAAGCAGCACAAAGTGGTCAAGAACTGAACACTTGCAGTGATAGCAACAATGGGCAGCATAGACATGGTATTGTAACAGGCAAAGAATAAAACTGACAGTCTTGCATCCTGCAGGAGAAGAACCATAGTTTCCCCATCTCCAACATTTGAAGCAACTGTCAGAAAACCTAACCACCTTTTTTTTTTACTTCAAGCATTTTTACAGATCAATTGACATCAGAATTGCCAGTAGATCTGCATTCTCAAGCTGTGTGAATAAAACTTTGTCCAGCACAGAAATGTTGAGTACCAACAGAGAACTTCACAGCAAAATGGATGACAACCACTCAAACAGGCCTAAAAGTAATTCTATGGTACAAATATCCTCATTCAGACATAAAAGCTTTTTGATCACCCCTTGAATATCCAAAACCCCAAGAAAGCATAGTTCTGGAGGAAGTGCACACGTTTCACATTTAAGGCTTTTACAATTTCAAATCTAGCTATGTAGGTGCTATATAGAGAAAATTCCTGCATGAGATAGGCCTAATGGTCTACCCAAGGAGGAGGACCAGATTCCAAGAGGCTTGCAGATGTTTAAGATATTCACGATTTCATTATATATCCCCAGAAAGAGATTTAATGACTGACATTTTCCGTTTTACAGAAACTCAGAGGTTGTCAGAGTTGAATCTTGTTTACATTTTAAGGAAAGCAAACATAACCCAATATTTAAAAAATACAGGCACAATTCAATGGGAATACAGAGCTACCCCTTTCAGTGAATGCTGGCTGAAGCATGCAGACTAATAAGCAAGTTAAAACTTCCCCATGTAGCAAGTGTGGATGACAGATTAAGTGATAAACTTTTTTTTATATTGTATTTGTATGCTTTGATAGGTTTGGCCTTGAGGCAGGATGTGGGACCTACCAGAAGTTGAGGTCTGCCCAGAGCTGTCAGTTTGATGGCAGCAAAGCCTGTGGCTTTCGTGGAATCTGCATGTAGCCATGAGAACAAAAATAACAAAGAAAGCACGTGGATTAATCCCCCAGAACAAGAGGCAGAGAGGTAAACATGGATAGGCCTATAGATTCCCTTGATTCTTTCCACTCATTATGCTCACAAGTGCATTCACACACACACATGGATCATACAACACAGAAATGAATTGAAATACCTCAGGCAGATAAAACCTATTGGTAGAGGGCAAAAGAATTATTCAGGTCTTTATGCAATAGACCTAGCAGAATGGCTCATGTAGTGCCTCATGGCAAGCCCAACAAATTGAATTTTCCATTTTGGAGCCAAAAAAAAAAATAATTAAAAGAAAGAGTTGAAGGAAGAGCATTAGTCCTGTATTACTATAAGATTAAAGGCAACCAGAACTGAAGCTTTCCTTTGCATCAAAGATGGTGGCAATTCATTACAGTAAGGAAGAGCATTGGTAATATTCTCATGATAAGTGAACCAGGGTGATCCTGAGGGCAATATATTAGGAAAGGAAATAAGAAAAAAATATTGAGAAGGTGAAATCATGAGGGGTGGATGAATATAATTTATATCCTCCTGGTTATAAATTATCTTCTAACTCATAGCCTGAAAAACTTCTACCTTTTGACTGGGAAGTGCTAAAAGCTGACAATGACATCAGACTACCACCCAGCACAATTCACGAGGAATATGATGAACTGATGAACATCTTATTTTCAACATATGAGACATGCTCAGTCAAAATATACATAAAAAATAAGAATAAGAATGCTGGAATTCCACATACATTCTTACTCTTAAAAAAGTCAAGGGAAACAAAGCTCAGAATGGAAGAGGATACATAGCATGATCAAATTATGATCAAAGCATGCAGCCAGCAGTATGGGCAAGATCAACTTTGAGTTTCACAAAAGACATCAAGATCATGTGCAATCAAGCATGTAAGAGTAACATTTTTAAAGCATAATCCCAAGTTAAAACAGTGCCCAAACTGCAACACATTCCTAGCGAATACAGAGCTTCAAGAAGGCTTTCTCAGACTCACGAGAGACATTGTCAATGCATTTGAGGAAAATCTCCATGTTCTTCTCACATTGTGCTTCTCCCCTATAAAAGAAGGTTCTTGCTGCTGTCACCTGGTAGCGGCGATCAGCAAATTCTCTATGTACATGGAACCGCTTGATTGCACCTATTACAAAATAAACATCAATATTATAGTTCCTTTTCCTCCAACTGTCCTTTATCAACAAAATGAATATAAACAATATTCTGTCTGATAGAGAAGTGGGTTGATATCTGACATTTTTTTTGGTTTAAGGAAAGATGTCACACACAAAACCTGGACTATGAAGCACTAGGATCTTAAAAATCAAAATAGAGCATGAAATGAATTAGAAAGCTTACGTTCGCTGCCCCCAAAGTTCTTCATGTCTGGAAAAGAGCAATCGCCATGAGACACAAAAATTAGGCACATAGCAAGCATTATACCATCACACAGGAAAAAACAAAATGTTGAAAGGTTTTAGTTTAGGTTAGTTAACAAAGATGCACCTAATCAAAGCTATCAAGTATTCCTACTCATAGGCATGTATCAAAAATAGATCCCGAGGACATAGTAACATGCACATATTGACACTATTGCTTCTTTCCACAATGAGGTGACCATGGCCTTGTTAAACACATTTTTACTTATGTCTATTTTGGCATTTGTGCAAGTGTGTCTGGCTCAGTGCCATCTTGTCAGCAGGATGTGACCTAGATGTACTGTACCTTGCTGGCCCAAGTAATGGGTCACATGTGACAGTCTTTTTTTTTTAAATATACTTCATAAATTGGTGACACATTTACCCATGAACCTACATAGAATTACCACAACAGTGAAAGTGAATATACCTCAGATAATTTCCACAACCTAGGCTGGGGGAAACCATTAAGTAAATTACCCTGTTCATCCCCTATGGTTCAGCTCCCTTTCTTTGATTCATAGAGTCCATGAAATACATTTTAGTAAATGCAAAGTTACAAGTAACAGATTATACTATAGGGTCAGGATTGTATCAATTTCGGCAACAGAGGAATTGGTTACTTTAGCCTGAGAAGTGAATTCATGAAATGAGAAAATCAGCAACAAAACAGCTCCAAAATTCCATACTTTTTCTATATGAAAGGTGAGAAGTAATACACAGTGTGCCAAAAGTAGGTATACAGTTGTATGTATGTATGAACTGTGCGAGAGAAACATGGAAATGACAGGAGAGATTCTGCATTCTCGGTCTTCCAGTATTGTTTGAGTACCCACTTGCGTTGATCAAACGTCAAATTCCCAGCTATCACTGTCTATTAACTACCTGCAAATAAAAATAAAAATAAAATAAACAACTGTATACCTACTTTTGGCACACCTTGTATATTGTAAAATCATAGGGTTCAATAAACAAATCTCTGATGCATTCACACAATGTCTAACGCCATTTCGAAGGAAAGGTCAACTGGGGGCATGAAGCCCCCGAAGAAATGTGATGTCCCCATGCCACAGACCCATGCCTATGAACTGATATCCACTTCTACATCATGTCTCAAAAAAAGTTTGCCACTTTATTCTTTGGAATATCTCCATCTGATATTTGGCAAGACCCATACATTTTTGAACATGCCATTTCAGGTGAATAAGAAAGATACTTGCCAAGGGTAAAATAATTCTACCCAGTGCTTCAAATGCAATAACTTTTCAAAATTAAAGCATCAAAAATCACATTGAACGAGCAATGTACACATTAATTTTTGACTAGTGCATCATGTTGGCATGCTCCAAAATGACAGCCCTAGTAACAAGCGGTCTTAGTAATGGAATTGGTTCAGATGAATATCTTTTATATATCTCTTATTATTATTATAGGCTGGTAGTTTATTTGTATTAAAAAAATACCTCTAACCGAAAACTTCTGCTGGAAAACTGAATTGAAAGTTGAACATTTTAAGCTTGTACTCATAATGTTCACCTTCAGTATGAACCCAAGCTCTTCCTCTTTTTGACTGAGAACCAATTTTTCTATAGCTTTGATATTTTCAGTTTGAGTTGTGTGTGACTACCACTTTGGTTCATTAAGGAATTCCATGAAAAAACCTGGCAACATCTTGTTGAAAAAAAAAAGCTGAAACTGTAATAACTGAAACAATCAGAATTACAGCCTTTCATCGCACAAACTTTTGCTCAAGTGCCTGTCCTCTTCCCTGAATCCCATGACATTATTCGTAATTTTTAATACTGCGATTCATGACATCACAAAAGTAATAATGGAGAGTTTTGCCTTAGGCATACAGGAAATTATAGTAATCAAATGTTAAAAATGCAACCTGATCATGAGTTAACTTTGATAATGCAAGGTAAGAAGTATCGAAAACCAGTTTCCCCACTGGGACTGCCAGCTGTCCATGCTCAGTGATGTTTGAACATGTGGAAGGGATGTCTGGTGGGAAGCATTGAGTAATTGGTTGTTCACTGCTATTTTCGATACTTCAGCTTTGAAAAATTATTGCATTTGAAGAACTGGGAGGACTTATATTGCACTTGGTAGGAATCTTTCTTATTCACCTGAAATATGCCACGTGTAAAAATGCATGAGTCTTCTATGATTTCCATGATTGATGGAGATATTCCAAAAAATGAAGTGGCATAATTTTTTTTGAGACAGTATATAATGCCTATGAAGGCAAAATGCAACAATGAGAAGCAAAGCAATGCCTATAAAGGAGTTCGTGCCACGAGGATCAGTGACACTTACCTTCAATGCCCTTTTCCTGCTCCGCCGCAGAAAGACATCCCCTAGGGGAAGAAAAAAAAAGAATGTAATGCACGATGAGTATTGAGGCCTCTACTTGTTTTTCCAGAACCAGAGAGGTCAGGGGAGAAAAAAAATCCAATCCTTCCAGTTTTTATGGATCTGCCCCTGAAACAACCAATATGTCTCTGATCGCCATCCTTGTCCCAAGGGTATTTCAAAAGTGCCTGACCTCTCATTGAGCAACGAGTCGCTTTAACAAACGCGGACCCCAGAAACGAATACCGCCGACCGGAATAATGCCGGACTGGAATTATGTCGGGAAAAAAAACATTTGGATTAAAGACAAACCTTAACGACGTCCTATACATAATGCCAAACACAAAATCATAATAGCTGGTACAATAAATAACAATTTAGAGAAACGGCTGAAGTAAAGAGTGGAATAACCCGACGAAATAAAAATCGAACTGGAATAAGAAAGAAAATCTCGAAGAGGGGATTAACGTCTTAAAGACGGTCTTGATCCATCAGCGACCTATAGAACGTACTCGAACAGAGTGCTGTTCCTGGACGAATGAAGCAAGAGATAATAATTGTAATACTGGATTCTCTTCTTTCAAACGAATTCAAATGCTTTTGGCCGATATTCACGTTGCGGGCAGAGTACATGATGTAGCCCGTTACTCGGGACGTTCGTCTGATGAAGGTAAAAATTTCTCCCGAACTTGCTAAATGACTGCGTGATTCGTTTAGCCAAAAGAAGAGGAAAACGTTTATGTTGACCTCCCTACTATCATTCCCTTGACATGAAATATACCTTTTAAACTTGACACCTCGAAAAGGAGGGAAAATCCTTTCATGGTGGAATGTGCGGAGAGAAATCTTCACGTAAGAAAGAAAAAGTTTGACAAGCAGACTTTCCTTTTTCTTGAACAATGTAAAACGACTTCTCTCGACAATACTTCCTTGCGGAATTTACAACCGGAGTTACGCGGGAAAGAAGCAAGAAAAAAAGAAGAAACAAATTTAAGATCTAATAAATTACTCCTCTTTGCAATTCCCCCTTCGAGAAACTGAAAACAAAGGAGCGAAAGGCATTAGATCCGATTCCACAACGTCATACATGGGAACATGATTTACAGGGATGAACCGGATCCCATTTATGGAACCAGGGTGGTTTCTGTTTAATCAGCCAGACGAATGACATCCTTGGGGGAGACGGAAATCGGTAAATTTCATTTTCCTGCCTCTCTGACTCCTTTGTTTCAGACTCCACGCCTCCACTTAAAGCCTTCGGGCTACAAAAAGACTCCTGAAATTTATCCCAAGAGTGAATCCAGTTCATACGCGTAGGAATGCCGATAGGTTTTATGGCATATACGATCCACGTGTAACCGGTCGAAACTGTAAACAGCCTTCATATATTGGAGGATCCATCTTGGAAAATACGTCCGCCTCTTTATTTGATGGCGTCCATTTATACAGTATACTTGTTGATCGATTTCCTCCGCGGAGGGGGAGGGAAGCCAGAGCCGTGTTATTGCTGGAAGAGTTGAAAAAGCTCCAAGGACGGCTTCATTTCAGATTCGTATCTATATATCAATCATATTTATGGCATGGGTAACCAGGGCAAGAACATCGTGGAGAAAAGCATATTTACATCCAGAGGACTGTTGCAAGAAGTGCGCAATAAAAACAGAAATAAGAAAGAAAATAAAGGCAGCAAAAGGCATTTTACACTTGGGAAACATGATAAGCAAGTGATCCATGACCTATGGAATCAGAATAAGCTTCAGTTATAACAGTGATGACTTTTTATGGGATGAATTCAACATTGGGAGGGAAAAATAGCCATGAGCTACCTACAAAGTTCAGGTCCAAATATGTTCACATTCATGCCACATGAATAAGCCATATAATCTGTGCTACTTCATAACAAAGCTCAAAGGATAGATTTTAGTAAATAATTTACAGCTTACACTCTTGAATTTTGGGTTCTGGTATGGGGTTGTACTACTTAAAATAAAGTTGTCTCCATTATTTTATTTTTATCCTCACCAATTGCACTGAAAGGGCCAATTTGATAACTTGGTGTTAGGGAATCAGGCACAATTATGCATAAATCTGTCTTTTTATAGTAATTTCCTAAAATATGACATCCACTCACATCATCTCTGCCACCTCTGCTTCTTCACTGGAGAGGTCTTCCTCAGCAGAATAATCCAATATTGACTTGACCCCAAATGACCTCATCCGGTCAATCATGGGTTTTACTTCTTTCGGATTCTCACCAGCCACAAAGTGCCCATAAAAGGATGCTTTCATGACCTTGGCAAAAAGTTTCTTCCCAAGGAGTTTCTGACCCAGTTTCATGAGCTGTCATGTCAAGGGCAGGGTAATTATTCATTACCAAATTCCAAGCACATTAGTTGAATTGAAATGAGTTGGAACAAAAAAAAAACCCATAAGGCCATTCATCACTACCTGAGGATTATGATCCACAAGGTACGATGAGGAGCAAAGTGTGAAGACGAGCCACCCACGGAAGACTTCCCATGTGGTTTTACTCTTAAAAGCTGCTATTGTGTTGGTGAATGAAAGATCCAGTTCATCTCTCTGTATGTGAGATGGAGAATCAGCTCCAGATTTTGCAGTTGTCCCATGTTCCACAGTATCATCCACATTCTCCACTTTCAAATGGGAGGAATGCACATGCCCAATCATACGAACCCTGGGCTGAGTGACACTGGCAGCTGCTGATACTGCCTTCCATTGTTGAGGCACTGAAAGCCCTGGATGGCAGTGAGTGGAATAGAAGATTGAAAGATACTTCCCCTGCTCAGCTGTGATAAGCTGTGTGAGAAATCGGTAACGACTTATTTTCCCAGCCTGGAGGCAGGATTTTGCCATCTCCTCACCTGCAAGTCCAAAATAAACAGTTTTATGGAGGTCTGGAAGAAAGATGACACATGGTTGGCCATGGAAGGTAATTTCAAGTAGGTTAGAAAGGAAGATTGCATGACAAAGGCCAATATGATTTACCACTTTAAAAAAGGACAAGACAGGCCTATCCTTGCCAAGGGTACTCCCTCTGAGATATTCCTTTGGGAACAATGATTTCCGTACAGAATAATTATAGGTTGCTGCTTTGGTCAATTAAATGATAAGTTATTATAGGCTGAGAAAACTATATCAGAAACTTCCATTGTCATTTCCTTGCTTCACCGATGTCTAACTCTGCTAACATAGCAAAACAAAATGGGGATTACTTTGCAAATCAAGAAATTAAGTTCAGTAAGTCATTCAACCTTCTGAGATATCTAGGTATCATCTGGGTTGAACCTATATTTTTCTTCTAGAGGATTGGACAATGCTAGTAAAGCTTATTCTCCACATCAATTCCTTTTCAATAGTCTTACAAAAATAACAATACATTGCATCTTCTTCCAAATTTCTATTAAGGGTCAGACTTAAAGCAATCAAATTCAACATATGCAGTAAACATCAGACTCAATTGGTCAGGAAAATGACTCATAAGGCATGAAAGAAGACAGCGGAGTAAAATCATCCAAAAACATGCATTTTGAAGGAAGGGGACAGAGCGATTGATGATCCTGCAGTGGTGGCTGAACATTTGATTCCTGCTATCAATGACAATGTGGTTCAATATTTGAGAGATTAACTCAAATCTTAAAAACTGATAGTCAATTGACATTGTCTAAAACCTTTATCATAGCACATTGTATGTACTTCATATTTAAAAACACCTAGTTAGAGAGTATAGTAGTAACAGGTTCAAGAACGAATACCAGGCAAATTCGGCCATTCGAAAATCGTCCGCGAGTGACAAACCGGATAAGATAACGGTACATAACCTTTCCTCGACATGCTGCTTCCCCTACCTATTTACGGTTAAAAAGATCAAGTAATGTTTCGATATCCCTTGGAAGCAGTTAACTCATGCGCCTATACGAAGCCCATTTTTACTTCTTAACCCTGGTCAAGTATATAATGCTACAAGTTACCCTAGGCCGACAGAAGTAATGAACTAATGCTAGCTCTTAATGTCAGGCTTATTTTTGCCTACCGTAAAATGCAGACAGAAACGGATGAGATTCGGCTATTCTTTACGGGACTTTCAACATCCAGACGGAATCTCAAGTCAAACTCACTCCCAACCAACGTAACAGCATTGAACGCACTGAAGTTTGGCTCTCATCCCACAACGTGACTTTCATGCAGCACGCCATGGTGAGACCTTGGTAGCTGAGACGTCATTGCTCGTCTTGTGGTTCGTTGCGTTGGACACGGCATGGGCCAGAATCTCACATCTCGAATCAATTCTTCATTTATCAATTACTTCACCTTGACGGTGGAAAATAAATTCAGAAACAATAAATTTGAAGCCCACATATCCTGGGATTTGAAACGGAAAGTTTGGTAACAGCTACTCCGGTCCCTTTCAGACTGCAGGCGACATCTGTTGGCCTAATATCTTCACTCCTACCCCGGTCTAGCTATTCGGTGGTTAGCGTGCTTAGACCTGTGCAGTTGACTGTAACCTTAACTAGGTTCATTAACTTATCACGACGGGCCGAGTGAGCGACTTGTCAGAAGTCATCTGGTATGCAGAGTAACACATAGGGGCTGGGGCCAGGTCTAAGCTTAGGCTCATGCTAGGCATGCATTCTAATCCATAATAATGGAAATTGCATGTCTATTACTAGATGGCCTCTAGGCTATCTAAAGTTAGTAACAGATATGCACTTTAACTATCTGGCTATCTCTAGATTCCATAAACACCCAGGACTTGATGGGACAGAGGGCAGAAAATGGTGGGTGAGACAAAAAAGTTGGAAAAGGGAGATACGATGAGGGTGTTTCTGTCAGTGCCAAGGCAGGTATACCTCATGATAGACAGGTTGCAAGGCTGCTACTCTTGATAGAGTGAATTTCTCACAAGAAAAGCAATTGGCTTTTATCAAGTTAATCATTCATTAATGCCAGTGTTTCCAACAAATGGCAAAGAATTTGTTTCTAATTCTTTTTGTGTTTCCTCTATTTAAACATATTCTGGAAGGGAAATATACATCTCTAATTTTATATTTGAATTGCTCTTGCCAAGCATAATTCTTTGGAATTCATGGTAAACATTTTGCACCTCACCACCTATATTTCACCAATCAATGTCCAAGTTGAGTTGGTTACATTGTTACAAGGTAGTCCTTAGTGTTTACTGTTTCATTTCCTTGAAAATCTCTGGACACACTTTGTTAAAAATTAATTCTGAGTTGAAAGGATCTATGATTTATGTTTGGGCTATACCAAAAAGCTGTACTGTGTGCTGTACCAAAAAGCTTGCTGGGTTGGGTAAAGATCCACTTTTATGACATGTTAGAGGGAGGAGCATACCATTTTTTCCCTTTCCAACCACACTTGTCAAACTGCTCAAAGGTCTTTGAATTTGATGGGGATGGACACCATTAGGGATTGGTATAGATACAATTCCACCAGATGTTGGCGCAGATACCTTTGTCCCCAGAGTGCTTGAATAGGTGAGCAAGGAAAGGTGATAGGCTTCAAGCACAAGACCTCATGATGACAGTAAGAATGCCTTTAGGTCCTGTGGCAATCTTCAATTTTGGTCCACATAGGATTCTATGGACTTGTGACATCACAATTCAAGCAAGTTTTTGCAGCACTTTGTGCTCAGTTGAGAGAGATCAAGAGCTGCTATGATTCAAATGGGTTCTTGGTGCCTTAACCCTTTCAGACTTGGCATCCATTCCAATGGACATTGTGTCTATGGCAATTTCTTAGGATTCTCGTGACTTTGCGCTCCATATAACGCTACAATGGGTGCAATTATGCATGGCTCAGTTCTGTCAGAGGCCTTCTTTAATAACTTGGTACCTTGTTTGGTCTGAGTTTCAGCCCAAAGAGATCACTACTTTCAGGTGATTTTGGTAAAATGTTGCAGGTGATTTCTTTTGCAATGAAGCACCAGTCCATTTGCAATTAACTAGTCATCATATCCATCCTCTTTATTCTTGATGCAGTACACATATTCAGGTAAGTCAATGAGATGGGGAAGGAAAGTAAGTGTTGCTTAACCAGGATTCAGTGATGCAAATACTTTTTGGGGCTTTCTTACCTTCTAGGAAAATCATCTGCTGGGCTCGAAGCTCACTAAACTTGTTCTTCAGACTTTCCTGCGAAAATGTGAGGTAAACATGGCTGGTTGCTTCTTCCATTTCTCCATGTTTGTATATCATCTCTTTTCCCTTATTTACTGAGTTTTTTTTAACCCTTTGAAGTCCATGTATTTCATAACACTATGACCAATGACATATACAGTTCAACAAAGGGATGGCAGGATGGAGGTGAGATGAAAGTTGCAGCAACCAGGATATGAAGCTCAGTGAGGTTACCACAAAGTGCAAGGGGGATGTAGCTACTATATTTCAGTTCAGCCCCATTATACTTATGTCCATGTATAAATTGCATCATTAACACTTTTGAAGTAAGAAGAAACGGAAGGAAAACAATTACCATGGGAAGTGGGAGAGTGTCAGTTACTGTGTTTGGCACCGTGACGTTTTGGCTTAGTACTTGTCATAGGCTTATTTGTGAAGGCAATTGTCATGGACTAGTGGTACCCAATCTTTGCTACAGAGCTATACATATTTTGCTTATTTAAGATTCTGTGACCCCTAAGGAATGATGTTTGACAAGTAAAAATTGAATACAGGTGGGAAAAAATAGCAAGACAAAATTTTAACATTGTTTTCTTGTATGTTGAGCTCGGGTAATACAAACCAAAACCCTGCCAAAAGATTCAAAAGTGGGTTGTGACCTGTAGATTGGGAGCCATTACTCTAGACCTATCATACTTATTAGTTGAACAAGGTTTTATATTCCTAGGTGTAGCCCAAAGGTTTGTACAGACTGGCCTCTGAGGGACAAGGACTCACTGATTCAAAATGAGTATATTGGGTACCCTGGATCAAGGTGAACTTGCTGATCTGAGAATTGAAATTGAAAATGATGCTAGACCCAATGCATCAGGTTCTGAATCTGAGAATGAGGCCATCATGGAAACTGGGGATTCTGATACATCCGAGTCATATTCAGAAGGTCGAAAAGCAAAAGAGAGGTCAAGGAAAGCAGATGTTGAGAAGAAATCAGATTCTACTAGAAGAGAACTAGAAGAAGGAGAAGATGATGGTGATAATGAAGAAGTTCAAGTGCCTGTTGAGATCAATGTCTTTCTTGGAGATGTGCAAGATAAGGTATAAACTTTGTTCCTATGTCTTATATTTTAAGTTTTAGAACTAATCTGTATCATGTATCCCCATGCCTATAGTGCTTTTGGATTTATTTTCTCCCCCTTGACATGAGTTCAATGCTTCTCTGTGAAATAGTGTAGTAGTTTTTCTTTTCCCAGGAAGGAATAAGTTTCATGGGCTTGGGTCATTGATATAGTTTTTTTTATCATTGATTTTTATAACTTCACCCTTACTATGATGGAAACAAGAATATTGCATTTCCCACCTCAGTCATTCATACAGCCTTGATCAATTATTTGAGGAAACAGATGTCATCCAATTTGTATGACACATGATGCCATTCAGAATAGTGTAAGGTAGGGATTTCAATATGAAATCACTGTATGCTATAAGAGACAATTGTGTTTACTATTTGTCTCTCAAGCATCATTGACACCACCAAGAAGGGGGATAGAAGGAGAAAAGACTCCTTGAAAACATTGTGGGCCTATGTGTTATTATATGAATTGTGACATCAGGCCTGTCCTAGGCCTAGGTCTCACATTTATGTTGTGTGCATAAAAATCAAGGTATGACACCAGCCGTAGGCTCTACATAGGCTGACTGAAAATTTTTCTTTTTACAATTATGTTAATATCTAAAACCTGTATTGCTCATTATCTCTTTTGACAGGACTAGTAGCTTAAACGACCCCAATGTAAGCCACAAAATAATTTTTCATGGATAACAGGCAGAAACTCATTTTTCTTTATTTAGCCATTTATTAGGTTTTTATGAATGTGATAAAATCAGATATTCAAGGTGTTGAGCTCTGCTAATGGGTTGCATGTCCATGTCAGTAATACCCAACATGGTCTCCTGTCTGATGTGACACAATATGTTAAAATCCTTTTCATTTTCTTGGGTCTATCTTTCTAGGGGGAAAGAAAGAAATATGAGAACAAAGCAGGGGCCTTCTGTGTTGGGGAAGGTGTTGACCTCTTTGATGAAGAGAAATTGAAGGAGCGTGCTAAAAGATTTGGGGTGGATGAGTCAGAAGTCAAGCACTTTACTCCAGACCATATCTCCAGGTTATATGACAGGTAAGTCAATTTGTTTAGTTCTCCCTGAGAGCCCAATTTAATTTTGTCATAGGTAAGGTGAAATGTATTTAGCATATTTTATTTTTAGCTAGAATTGACATTCAAGTCCATTTATATATTACTGCATATATGTTTGAAGAACTCCTTGTGCTTTTTAGCTCTATGGTAAGAAATTTATCTTGTGTGTGCCTGCTAATCCATATCTTCCAGCTTGGGGATACCTGCTGAGGAGCGGAAGATTGGACGAGAAGATGAAGCAACACAGAAAGGCTTTCATCGTCTTGAGGTCATTCATGTTCGAGGCACAGAGGACATGAGTACACAGGATGTTTTCAACTATTTTCTTGGCTACGGCCCTGCATCAATTGAATGGATAAATGATTACTCATGTGGGTACACCTCATGTTCCCATTTGATGTTTATTTAGTCTTATGCCCAGATCATCTCATGATTCCAACCTTCCATGGGTAGGTAATGTAATCTGGTTGGACAAAATCAGTGCAGCCAGAGCACTTCTGGGAAAAAGCAGAGGTGTGGTGCATTGGACAGTTGAGCAAGTTAAGGAGTCGATCTCAAAGGATGGGGAAGCAGTCATGGTTGTGGACATGAAGGAGTTGTTAGAGGATGGAGACATATGTATGGAAGACATGGATGCTGATAAAAAGGGGAAAGAAAGGAATGAGAAGGAGGAAGAGGAAGAGGAAGGAGAATTGAAGGAAGATGATGATGATAAGTCATCACACTTAAAGGTAATTATTGCATCAATTTTTTCTGTCATTCTCACTTGATGTCATTCCTATTCACAGTGAAGAATTCAAACTCAACCATAGCATCTAGCCATGTAATCCAGTTTATTTCATTGAACAGAATATTAAAAAATTAATTTTCACCCCTTTTTCTCACCCACCAGGATACCAGTTCAATGGACTTAGAGGGGGAAGATTATGGTTTTCCAAAAATATTGGCCAGTGATGTGACTGCTCCAGTTCCCCCAGGACATTGGCATCTTGGTGAATCATGTCGCCAAGCAAAGGCAATACTTATTCGCTTTGCCAACAGTGATGACAAGAAGGCACGTGGTGCTGAACGTCACAGCCAGTATTACATGAAATACGGCAATCCAAATTATGGAGGTAAACGGATATCTTTATGGTTTTCTTTTTGTCAGGTTATAATATCATCTCCAAGGTACAAATTAAGATGTAACTTTAACAGAAAGATTACATGTAATTACTTACTTATATTACAGTCAATAAAGCCAATGTTTGTCATTCTTTGAGTGAGCATACTTGGCAGACCTGCTTAGTTGAATTGTTTTCATAAGCATGTTACTGCATTTCAGGCATGAAGGGGAAGATCAGCTTCTCTCGCAAGAGACGCATGATCCGAGAGGAACAGAGGAAAGAATTGGAGAAGGCCATAGGGTATCCAATGGAGCCTATATTTACTGGTTCAGTTCAACCTCCAGTCCGTGGGGATCCTTGGGGTGGACTAGCCAAGATCTGGTACCATGACTGGGACAACCCTGACCTTGCTGGTATGTCTCTAAGTACATAATTTGTTGTGATTCCAGAGATTTGAAGTGTCATGAAGTATCATTGCTACCAGGAGTCCCTCCTCCAGCTCCACCCCCATCTCATCGCTCAGACAATGAGAGTGGAAGTGAGAGTGGGAAAGATGAGGATGTTGTGCAGTGGGAGACAAAGAGTAAGAGGCCCCGGATGAGGATGTATGCTGATGATGAGCAGGAGAAGCAGGTTCAACGCAGGTATGCATGAAGTATCTTAGTCTTGTAAATGAAAAATCAGGATTTTGCATATTGTCAACTAGTCCCATCTGATACTGTGCTTTCATTAGATTGGCTTTCACTAAACAGTGCTGTTATCATGTGCTACTATTATGCCATGTGAACAGAAACCTAGGAAGGAGGCATGGAGTTGAGGTTGATGTATGGCCAGAAAGACCCAGAATCCACCAACCAGCAGAATCATTCTTCAACCAGGTTCCATCATTGGAGATCCATGCCCAATTGAATCGTTCTCTAGATGAGCCCATCCATCGGAAAAGACCTCATCCCAAAGAGAGACTTGGGAACAAGCACAGGGTATCTTGCTCAAAATATTGCATCCTTATTGCCAACTTTTATCTTCATATGTATTCTACCATAGTGTCCAAATCCACATTGAGATCTGATAATGTTCATTAAGCATTGGGTAATAGAAATTACAGGAAATTTATGAAGAGAAAATAAAAATATACCATTGCTATTGATGAGGTTCCATGCAGCCTATGTATGAGAAAAATCAGGATTACATGGGCCAATTTTCTTTGTTGGAATGGCTTCAACAAAGCTTGGCATTGAAGGTAACTTCATGAATATTCAATTTTGTTGAATTAGTCCTGTATGCACAAACTTGATTTAAGAGAGATGAAGGGGCATTTAAGCTAAAGAGCTCTTTTCCTCCCATAGGAGTCCATGTATTCTTAAAGGACCATTAACTAAAGGAGGTTTCAGCATTGGGACACTAGTCTTTACAAGTTGAAATGGCTCATTCCAATGGTAACTATTTCCACTCTGACTGGATTGATGACAGTTAAGTGTATCAGGATCTTGGGCTTTATTTGGCATTAAATTAATTATAGCTAAGATATTTGTATTTAACTTCTTGCTAAGACCTTGTGTAGGTCGAGATTCCAATGAGGAAGGGAGTGTCCAGGTCAAAACTAGAAAAATAGGCTCTCATACATGTAGAGGATGTTTAGTTTTGGAGTCCTGCAATCAAGGAAGATTTAAATTGCAAGCGAGAGGATTTTGAGGCAATCTTCCAAAATTAGAGTGATATGGGAACTTTTGTAGAAGTGAGGCCTCGATACATCAGATTTACGTTGGCTGAAAAGGTTTATGGGATATCTCCTTTTTTCACTTAATCGCTTCACTGTGTATTTTTTGGGGGAGAAAATGCCCATTCCTGCATTGGAACATTCCTGTATGTTTCTCTCAAACATTCTGAGCATAATATTATGCCTTATACAGTGGGGGGAACAATTGGCTCAGGTGTAATTTGAATAAACACCCCAGTTTTTGGCCACACTTATATGACTCCCATAGGAAGTGGACACCTTATGTGCACACTGGGAAACACTAGTAATGGGATGAGAAGATGTTGATAAAATGCTTGAAAATGGCCAGATTAACTAATTATGCTGGATTTAAGCCTCACTGGCCAACAACTGGAGATCAGCCGGAAACCAGGGTGCTTACCCTATACATTCTACACAGGCAAGGGGTTAAGAGTATAACTTTGTTGTTATGAGGCATCTTATCTAAATCACCTTGTATGGAGGGGTAGGCCTCTATTAGATTGAGGTTTGAGACTAAACATTGTGGTGAGAGCAATTGATATATCTTTGAAGCATACTTTTTTTTTTCAGGCAATGCGAACCCACCATGTAGAATCGGGCAAAGGCACGGACTCTTCCATTTCTTCTCTATCTTTGGAATCCTCACCCTCAAATGATTCAGCAAGTGACTCAGAATCAGACATTCCCCAACGACGATACAGAAGAAGCAGAGGAAGAGGTAGGGGGAGACTTTCGTCCCCTCTGCACCGCCGTCTTGGCCAGCAGAAATCTCAGCACCGAGAACCCTTCCGAAAATCTTCAGAGCAACATAGACATGAAGCAGAAAGTGATTCTGACAGTGAAGTCATTGCCCGGGAACCTCAGCCAGGGGTACCTGACCTGAGGGCAAAACTCAACAGCAGACGGCAACAGGGAGACCAGACTCGGGCTCCTGTTGCAAATGAAGACAGAGAAAATGCAAGAGATGTAGATCTCAATGCTGGCAGCATGTCCCCATTGGAGATTGAGATTGACAATGATGAATATTACAAAATCATTCAAGATGACGACAACTGAGATTGTTGAACATTTTTTGTTTTGATTGAAAATGGGGAAATGTGGTGGGGCATCCAGTGGGCATTTATTGACCACCTGCAATTATTTTGAAAAAATACATTTCCAATTATACAGCAAAAAATTGTTTCCTGACTTTCATATGAATGAAGGAATGGGAGAACATTCAAGGCTGACAGAGGTAGGACAGACTGAAAGGCACACAAAGGTTGAGAGATGAAGAACCTTCAGCCACCTGAATTATGATAGCTGTACTTGTGACTTTCCTTCTCCTCTCAATAAAGCAAGGATAGAAAGAGGTCAGATGAACTGTCATGGAATGATCCTTCTTCCTCATATTATTGGTAAGAACATCTTAACACAGAGGAAGAAATGACTGAATTTGATGCTCATGCCTTGAAAACATGGATAGCACGGAGAACTATTTGCTGGCATATAGGACAGTGAGACATCTGCTTCCCACAGAGGGTACAGGTGGCCATGTGGCCACATTCCAGCAACACACAGTCCATTGGAGCTGCCATGCAGATCTTGCACAATTCAGAGTCAGGTAACTCCTCAGCTTCTAAAGGGGGAAAACCATAATATAAATAATTTGTTGCTCTTTGGACATGTCTGCATTGATATAATGCTAAATGCCTCATTTGGAAAGAGAAGCACTTTCTATGTACACTTTGTTCAGAAAAAATTTGGACCCTTTTTCAATTTGTAGCTTCTCATAGTTGGTTCAGACAATCGCTGTGCTCTTTGGAGGGCTGACTAAGACACCAAATGAGCACATGCATGCAAAGTTATATCAAAATCCATTGATTCATTTTGGAGATGCAGCAGCTTATTCTAAGTAAGGTTGTGGCAGACTATTGCCGCCAGCTGCACTCGAAAGGAGCGCAGCTAGTCTGAGAGGGAACTCACTGTTCCCCAGTCACAGGAGAATGCGAACTGTGCAGTATTTGGGTTTCAACAAATGTCATGTGTGACTCAATGATGGTGGCACTTCAAGCACCTCATCTGAGTGTCAAACAGGAAAGAATAATGCAATTATCTTGGTCATGCGCATCATGTCAGCCATCCTGAATGAGGCACAATACTGAAATTGAACTAATGCATCTGTACAGTTCTGGCAGCACTCCCTTACTGTTAGGCTCTGAATGTGAAGGCCTGTATTTCAAGAAATAGTGAATGGATTTTGATATAACTTTGCATGCATGTGCTCATTTGATGTCTTAGTCGGCCCTCAAAAATGCACAGTGATAGTCTGAACCAATTATGAGAGGTTACAAATTGAAAAAGGGTCCAAATTTTTTTGGGACAGAGTGTATAAAAATGAAAATGTATACTCACCTAGCCTGGCTTTCTCCTTATCCCGCCAGAGCCTTTTGACCAGATCAACTAAGTCTTGTTTCTCAACAAGACCATGAAGGCTCACCCGATACAGGGTAAGAATCACCTTGCATTCTTTGGCACTCAGCTTCTCAACTTCCTGCTCACACTGCAGGTCCGATAAAGAAATGGATCGGGCTACTTGTTTGTCACGCTCCTGAAAGTGGTAAAAAAAAAAAAAAAAACATAAAAAAAACATCAGCTTAAATTCCCAAATAATTCATTTAGTGGGTGGAATGTTGCTTTACCCGAGCAACAGTGGTGGCAGTATCACCAAATGCATTTTGAGCAGTTTGGAGATCATGTCTGACTTCCTGTACTGCTCCCTCTTGGTGATGAAGATGTAAATCCTCATTGTCACCTTGCAACATATTTGTCTGCATTTCCTGGTCCATGGCAAGGACAGTCCCATCTTCCATATTGACATGGCTATGGACTGAAATCAAGCTCTCATTCACAACTGCCTCTATTTGATTGTCCTCACTCTGAATGCTGTCCAAATCTCCCTATAGAAAAAAAAATCAAAAGTTAAAGTTTACAGAAATATATTTGTCAGATCTTGGGTTTCACATTAGAAAAGTTCTCACTTCCACATGGGAGTTTTGATTGAGATCATCAAGTTGACTGTAAATGTTCTCTCGCCTTTCCCCATTGAATGACATAGAATATGGAGCTCTATGAATTGGAGGATGAAGCAAATCTGTTGGATTGCTTCTGTTCATCCCACAGCCAAAGTTCTCCAATATCAGGTCCACCAGGTCTCGTTTCTCTGAAATGTTCAAGAATCACAAGAAGTGCTTTTGACATCACAGTGTGTTTACATTTGCACCAAGTTTGCTTTCAAGTGACTGGTCTATAATTCTCTGTGCACATCAAAGTATCAAGTGAACCTCACGAATGTCAAATATTACTGTAACTTCATGAAAACCTGTCTAAGACAATGCCAACCAACTTGAAACCTTTCGCTAAACATGACAAACATCTTTTTCATGCAAATAAACAATGCAACTGGAAGGGAATTCACCTGCACATCCACGAGTGGAGATGGAGTTTTCATTCAAGTAACTCCTGAGGTCTTTGATGCGCAGATTCATAAGATCTGCAAACGACAAAGGGTGGACAGAGAAAACCCGACATTTGTAGCAACGACGGATATTCCCCTCTTTGGTGACACACTCCCTGCAGTACGATAGATGGCACTGGGAACATCTCCTCTAGTGAAAGCACATAAAAACATCACTTAGAATTCATAACATAAAAGTGAGTGACAGAGCTGTATCTAGCAGATTTTCCAGTCCGTTCGACTGGCATCTGGAAATTTAGCTTCACTTTGAAAATGCAACAGAGCAGACCTTTCGACGTAACAGGGTGAATTTCGACGAACAGGATTCACAAGATGACATCCTAGGGACTTCTGGGTGAGGTATTTATCACAAGGAATAGGAATCGTGCACGAAATGCTGATCTGACTGCGGCATACTAAGCGTAGGCCTGGCCTAAGAAACATCCATGATTTTCACACGTTGCAGAGGCTGACATACTCCATTGTGACGTCGTATAATGACGGTGTTGTCCCAATCGGACTTCATCACGAGTGCAAACGCGGCTTAAAAGCTGGACATGGTGCCTAGAGAAAAACTATTCATTTCAAGAAAATCGATGCAGAACTATTTTGAACTATAATGATGCAATTTCAGTGGCTATCCTTCTTCTAGACAGATATAATTGCTAAATGGGATCTGACATCCTTGAGATTGCTGCAGAAACGTGATGAGACTGGTCCAGATTCAGATCTTTCATTTTCCTATCTACCTGTCCAATCTCCGGCTTTCATGACGCCCCCAAGTCATGTCCAGTCTGGTTCCTGCAAAAGTTCATTGACTCCTAATGACCTGGGAGATGTCTTTGATTTATTGTTTAGAAATACCCAGTGGTGTGTTTCGGCTGAAGAGTCGGGGGCAGAGCAACAGAGCGATATCAAAGGAGAAGAATATTTAGGAAAAACTCTCAGGGGACGCCCAGTAGCGCCCCTTGTAATAAACGCTAGCGGAAATATGTAATCATGTTTGCAGTTGCTCTAAATGCATGCTTTAGAATTTGCTCGTACCCGTATCATGGGAGTTTGCAGCAAACAGATTCTGATGATAAGCTTTATTTTGATAGTTGGTATTTTATTATCATTTTTTAAAATCCAAATGAAGGTATTAGGGGAAGAAAAAATTTTACTTACTATAAACAACAATCCCCGCGACGTCTGAAATGCCCTATCCTTTTACCTTGGCCGTAGAATTGCGAAATTAATATCTTTCGCTTTTTTCCTTCTCACCTCTAAGACAATAGAATTTGGCGAAACAGTGCGAGAACGGAAACGAGACGAGAGAAAGTGAGCGGGGGTTTACATCCAATCTCAATCCTACTTGACGCAACTGATGACGTCACTCCACCCGAGTGCGACCGAGACTCCAATAACTCTCTATTGACCTCTATTCAGTGACTGAGTGCCAGCCATTAATCTCCTTATCAAAGGGCCTTCCACTTAGTTAACCATGGCAGGAATTCTTTCCTCACTGCTGCCACACTGCAATAGTCATGAGATACATTTTTGACAGGGAAACTCTGACAAGGAAGGATTCATAAAACCTTTTATTTCACCATTCACATATGATACAATCTCATAAGAGTCACATCCAGTCCCCTTTCCTGCTGTCCACTTTATTAAAAGGCACTGCAATGCGTTACAAATTCCCTGGTAAAACTATTACAGAGAAAAAAGGATGGGGAAATAACTTTAGTGCCAATGAAGCAGAAAACCCTTTCCAGCTGGATGTAATAACAAGCGTTGGGACACCAGGAGGACTCATGAGATCAAGAAGATATCTTACACATACTCAGACAACTGGGGAAAAAAACTCACATAACATACTTCCAAGACCGAATGACAGGCAGCTGCATCACAGGGAACTCGAGATAAATCAATGCAACATGTTCCTAGTCAATTGAAATAACCTGAACAAAAGCTCAGTCACATTCTGGAATAAAACAGGTTGAGAATGAGAAAAATTCCAATAAAACTGTAATAGTCAAAATGACATGAAAAGAGTAATCAGGTAACATGTGCAACATCTAAGAGCCTCACCTTGCTGCTGTCACACTGGTGGCCTTTCCATGTACTGACCAACAAAAAATTGGTGAGATATTCATACAAGACAGGAATATAAAATGGGATGAACACATCACAGGTCCATGAATATCTTTTAAAAATAACCAGGGAAGAAATGTGTCATAAATTCCAAACATTCAAGGTAGGGGGGGGATGAACGAGTTGAGGTCTGAGTCTCAGCTGAAACCAACATGGAGCATCAAACATAAAACTGAAGGGTGGTACTGTCTTGACCTTCCTCCCCCAACCCCTGTAATTCACTCCCACAGCTACTTGTGAGCCTTCTTACCAGTCTGTCGAACTCGGCTGCGCGTCAGCACCCGAGCTGATGCCGACTGCGATCGGGTCTGCATGCGCGGGGACTTGCAGGACACAGCTGGGTCAATGTCTAACAGTTCTGAAGCAGAACGCTTGGTCGATGCCCTCCGGGAACTCACCATATTGTTCTTCACAGCAAATGAAGATCTCAGAACCTTGGCATTATCATCTGCAATGTTCCTTCTGCCACAGACTCCATCATCAGGAATAGACCTTCCCCTAATTTTAGGCACACTCCGATTCTCCTGATCACTAACGTCTTCATCGTCCACTGAGCGACGTAGGCGACGGCGTTGGGAACTGTTCCGAATCGGAGGCAGAGGCACCAAACTTCGTTTGTTAGCTTTATGGTCAAGCGAAGACACAGAATCTGAAGAGATGCAGGGGAGAGATGTGGATGAGGTTGGTGAACGCATTTTCTCATCACTTGTTGATGACACTTCTGGACTCTGCACTTCATTGTCCTTCTCCTTAATAGGTCGAGGGTAGAAGATGCGATCTCCCGAGGGTGTATACATTGGACGTCCCTGGCTATCCACTGGCCGTGAGGAGAGGGGGGCCAGAGGTGATGTGGATGTTGGCAATGCTTCAGATTGAGGCATGACCACAAAAGTCTTTGGCCGATGCAATCGACTGATGGAAGGTGGTCTAGTACCAGAGAGGAAGGGATGGCTTGAGGAGTTACTTTCTCCACCACCATTTTCACGCACTGGACTTGGCAGGAAAGGTTGATGCTCATTCTTTTGCAATTGGTACTGCCGCAGAAGTACCTGGAAAAATGAAAGCAGGTCAGTTTCTTGTTCTTCATACAAATAGAAATATGAAGGTGCCATGAAAAAATAAAAAGGAAGTCTTGAATGTGACATGATGAAATGATGCTCAAAAGATTCAAACCTCAGACTTGGGTGGACCAGGTGGGTCAAGCATCACTGTCACGCAAGAAGTGTTATCAGCTCTCAGACGCAAGGAATTCCATCGCTCTATCGCACGATCAACCAGCCGTTTTGATGGATTGAGCCAGCTAATACTTGCCTGAAAACCATACAGATTTTCATTTTCTAGCCCATATATCAGCTATGTGCCATTCCAGTGGAAAAATAGATAAATCCGAACTGAACTCACGTGTCCTCTGGTTGCCTTTTCAATGATATGCTTCTCATTATGCCTCTCAGTTTCAGCTGCAATGTTGACTGCATTTTGAGGGGTGAGCATGTTCCATAGACCATCAGTGCCCAAGATGAGGCATCGGTGCTTAGTCAAGTCTATGTCCAGAACATAGACATCAGGTTCAGGTGAAACCACAAATTCATCTAGTGTAGAATTATAACTCCATAGATCACCTGTGAAAAGAGGAATAATGATGAAGCTTTACAAAAAAGGTGGATGATAATTTGAACATGGGACATGGAAAAGCTGGGCTTACCAAGAGCCCTGGCTACAGCTAGGAAGGGGATTTCATCTATGGGAGTTGATCTTCTGACAGGTCCCTTGTGACCAATTTTTGGTCTATTCCAGACAACACGTGGAACCCCAGACTTGTATGCTACCTTCCCACCAGACTGGGAGATTCTGTCCTTTTCAGACTGAAGCTCAGGCTTGTGATCTCTCGTCAACCTCTCACCTCCCCAGGTGTTCTCTGGATGAAAAATGGGCATTGTGAGTATTTAATTGGAGAGGAAGTTATATCCTATTATAGCAACAAAAACTGCAGATATGTAAACCTATTACATTTCAAGTCCTAGCTGAGTCAAGCAGAGGGCTATGTTCATCACAGGCTGAGTTTAAAATGCTTGGATCTGCCATGCATAAAGAATTTATATTGCAAGAAAATTGATGGTTCTATCAGTTCAAGAAGCAAATAAGGCTAATTTGCCAGTTAGACCAATATGTTTGCCAAGTACTGGCCAAGCCTGCCAAACCTGTGCATTGACATCCATAATCAAAAAGTAGCATTTGGTCTAGGATATCAAGTAACATACATAACCTACTTTCGTCGACGAGCCAAAAGTTTAGCCAAGCGAATTCAATAAAGCTCTTTTCCTACCGTCAATCTGTTGGCCAAGCACAATGGCAGAGTCTCCGACATGTCCGATGTATATTTTCCCTCTCCTAATGAAGGCGATACTAGCTGTCGTCCCCGAAGTACTCGGCAGTCCCGATGCAGTCCTCGGCCATTTGTCTATGCAAAAAGAAAAGAAATGAAACGTTTTCCTGTGCTCTTAAGAAGCCTTTTTGAAGGTTTCGATTCCTTTCTCAGATTTTGATAAGTCTCGCAAAGGATGAGTGACTCACCTAGTTCTTTCCACATCTCTTTATGGGTATGGATAAAGCCATCATGGATGGCTTTCAACACTGCCTCGTCGTTGTTGGACCAAAACGGCTTCTGGCTTACAATATTGTCCATCAAATGCTCCTTGGCGAACGCGGCTGCCTCACGCCCACCGTGCCCATCGAAGATTCCAAAAAAGGCATATTCCAGGTCACGATCGTCCTCTGTTTGCTGATACGCCACACAAAACACATCTTCCATGTATTTACGTCCTCCTTGGTTCAGGTGACCGGTGACCCGCAAATTTACACCGATACTCGGGGCCATTTCAACGAGAAACTTGAGGATGAAAGAAACGACGAATTTCCATGAGACGTACAGAGGAGAACGAACGACATGCAAGTATGGCTGCCAACGGCAGTAAGGGCTTTGAATGGGATTGGCTGCTGGGCCCGTGACGTCATGTGACGTCACGACAATTCCCGATCGTTGCAGAGATGCCCTCCTATTCCACCCACCTCCTATTGCTCCTGTCTTCCTGTTCCGTCTTGTTCCCATCGGACAGAATCGGATTTCTGCTTCTCTGTGTTTTCCTTCGGAACGGATGTTTGTAGAAATGCGTTGCAGGTGAGCGAAGAATGTGGGCGAGATGAAATCGTGTAGTTCATCATATGAATCCCGCAAAACTATGTATGATTCCCAGCAAGATTTTTGATTTCACGGATTAGTGGATAGAATGAGAGATAATATTTTTTATAATAATGCCTTAATTAAATGCTTATTAACTTAACTGAAACGCGAAATTGGCTTTCGCTCATCCGCTTCCTGAAGCGCTTTACAACCCATCATGTCGAAGGACAATTGATAGGAGTGCACTCTAGTGTGAAAAACAAGAAGTAGCAAGCTCTTCGCTTGTTTGACAGAGGACAGTAAAGCAGATAATGGCCGCGACGTTGTTACAAACCCTATAAAGCATTCCGCAAATCGGACTCGCTGTCCGATTCGTCTCGTGATGATTCCACACCGTAGGCTGTTTTTTTTTTCTTTCATTCGCTCCTTTCCCCGATGGATACTGAGGCAGGGAAAGAAAAGAAACAAGGTAAAAAAATTGGACCTCAGCCGCATGCACATTCCGGACAGACACAATTCATTTTTCGATTGTTTTTCTGGTTACACGAATCAAAATACTTAAGAGTGGTGTAGTTGAAGGATAGGAAAGATCCTCCTAAAGACTCGTTTCCGCCCCGACCATTTCACGACCTATTCTAACGTTTGCACTTCTGGCATAATTTCTGCTCAAGCGAGCACATTGCACGCGACCAATTTTGCCTCTCTCTGGATATGTCTTTAGTTATCTTTCAGAAACGGGAACGGAAAGTCACAGGGACGAACGAGACAACAAACTGACTATTTCATAAATATCGGGCTAACTAAAAACGGCTCCTTTCCCCGAGTACGGGCCCCCTCGCTTCCAGAAACGTCTCGAGTGGGATTCTTGGAAAGGCGACGGATTCGGCAACCTTGGGGGAAGTCGAGACTCGTTCTCGGCAGCTGGCGGACTGAAACGGCCACTCTCACGCGCTCTGGGACTCTTGAGGCCATTCCATTGAATTGTCTTATAGTGTTGAAAACTGGGGAGCTCGAGACCTCGTTGCAGCAGCCGTCGAGCTCTGGTGGAACCAGGCCAGTTAACCGACGGTTTCTCGAGCACGAGGTTGCTGCGACGACGACGAAACCCTTTAACGAAGCCATTCTTTACTGCGTGCTCATGGGAAAACGACAGCAAGCGGCTTTTCCTCGAGTGACTTGCTCCTCGACGGAATCTCCCGTAATTCTCGTTGGAATCGTGGATGGAAACTCGCTTTCGCCCTCGGGACTCGCTCTCACGCTAACGAAATCATCATCAAAAGAGCCTTCAAATAGGCGGTAAGGGACATGCTTCTTCTCTCATTATTCCGATTAGGAGAAATGAGGTGCCGATGGACTCGTCTCGATGGGGAATCACTTTTTAGAATTTCAAATATTCATACAATACTGAAAGTACTGAAACTTTTCCGTAATCCAAGGCGCACGGACCGACCTAGAGCAAAAAATTTCCGATAGGCTTCTCGCGTGTGAGGTGGTATTTAAATGAAAGAGTCTCAAGGCACCAATACACGAGGCAAGTTCTTGGTAGCAAGTCCTTGCTTACAAGAAGCAAGCGAGGGTGTACATGTAGCAAGTAGACTAGCAAGGACTTGCCTGGGCTTGCTCGAAAGTTGTCAAGCACCTGTGAAACGAGATCGAAAAGAGCGAAAACTCGCACCTGCTAATAGATGTCAACATAGGCGCCGAACCCAGGGGGGGCAAAGGGGCACGTGCCCCCCCAAGTATATTATTGAGGGGGCAACGCCCCCCCAAGAATGGCAAAATTTCAAAAAAGGCACATGGAAAATTGAAAACAAAATGCTGCTTCACGAAAGAAATGAAAAGTATGATTTTCCTTTCTGTTTTGTGATCCAACTGGGGGAGATCCCTTAGTCACCCCGTACGGGTATGGGGTGGAAGGGCCATTCCCCCCCGCTCGTCACTATGCTACCATAATAATACTGAACTACTCCAATGGATCCTGGAATAACTGCGTCATTGTTATTTCAGGGGCAATAGGAACTTGCCCCCCCAATATTTTTTCAAAGTCGGCGCCTATGGATGTCAGAGACCTTTCGCGGGTTATTGTCTTTGTATTCCTACAGATCTTGACCTAGGCCTAGTCTCTGTATACCTGCAGATCGTGATTTAGGTATAATTTTGGTGACATGGTGCCACAACTCCTCATTGAAGCCACGGAGGCCCTTATTACCGGCTTCCGTGATCGACCTTGCCTCTGGAATGTTATGATGAAGGAGTATCACAACTGCTCCATCAGGGATCAGGTAAGGAAGCCGTGATGATATACCATAGTATGAGAGCAATATCTCTCCTTTTAACTACCATTTAACTATCATTTAACTTCGAATGCACAGGGGCCATTTCGGACAATTTTCATTAAGGAACAAAGCCCGTCTGCTCCTACAATGTACAGGGACGCCATGAGCCTCACCACAATTGATTCCTACAGGGTCTTCCCGACCGATCAGAGCGTAACTTGCTTACAAGTCAAGTGATGGATTTTGAATCGAGGGGAAAATAGAACCAAGCACTTGCCGGGACTTGCTAGAGCGAAGCAAGTGGTGTGTACACGAGGCAAGTCTCTTTGGCAAGTGCTTGCTAGCAAGCACTTGCCTCGTGTATCGGGGCCTTCAGAAAAAGCAAAGTTTTTTTCTGGGTCTCAAATACTGAGAGACGCAGGCAAATCTGAAGCAAAAACTAGCAGGCGGTCTCGGACAAAATAGGCACTGATGGACTTCAAGTACTCGAGTATGTTTCAGCCTCAGTCACGGGTATCGTACTGAACGTACAACTTAGCACCTATCGTCATCAGTAAATATAAAAAGAGCAATAGCTTCAGGGCCCATTGGCACACATATCTTAACTAGGTTTATCTCGTTGACTGCATCGCAAAGTACTTAGAATGCCCCGATTTACTGAGCTAATCGACACCCATACGAAGTCGTCTGGGCACGAAGCACTCTTATCGTGTTGTTCAACCCTTAACGAAGTACTAACCAATGCAGGATGTGCAATGGAAACGTCCAACGAAATGGAACGGACTTTGAAAAAGGCTATGGGTTTACCGAAAGCCTAGGCTTTCCTTTTATCGAAGTATCGAGTGCAGAAATGCTATTGCTCTATCAAACGAAGTGAAAACACGAAAAAGGCGAGGAAGGCTCTTGAGTCTAGAGCAAAGACGAGGGGGGTAGGGTGAGGATTTTACTTAACCCTTTCAGATCTGAATTAAGGCTGCTATCGGAATAATATATATATTTGCCATTTTGAGCTCTTTCGTGATTGTCATTGAAATTTTCATGCTTTATATGTAGTTTTCTCATTTTGGAGCATCCGATGCCGGTGGGCGATAACAAGTGCATGGAGGATGTCGTCGCCGTCTATTCTTTTGCTCAGAGATGGCAACCCTATGCGGCGATCAGTGGAAAAGCTCACAACGACGCAAATAGTGGCATTGGAATGGACGCCAGGTCTGAAAGGGTTAAAGTCCCTCAATCCCCTGCTGAAAAAACCTCATGAGGCCTCATAGGTTCTTCATAATCGTCATGAAGATGTTTCCAAGCCTCATGAGGAATTCTGCAGCTCTCGTGAGAAAGTCGTGAGAACTCATGCGTTTTTAACAAGGTTATTCCAGCATGGTCCGATCGACCCCCCTCAAATTCAATGGATCACTGTGATAAATATCTCCAAATGTTACGATGGTCCAGTAAAACCATTTATGGTTCTAATTAATTGGTCATTTTAAAAATAATTATGTGCATTATGTGGACGTGCACGTGACAGCCGGAAATGGGTCTCCGAACGATCGCCAGAAAGTGGCTCGAGAATACATGCGCTCGATGTGACCTCGATTGGTATTCACGAAATCGATTGTGATCCGATTCAAACGGCGAGTGGTTTATTCGAGATATAAGAATAGGGAAACCGTGACGCTGTTGGCTGCCTGCCGGCCCAGAGGGAGTGCAACTGCTTTCGGCATCCTGCCATTCCGATTCCGAGAATTCCATTTATTAATATTTAGCGAGTTTCCCGTAGCGACCCCGGAAAGCGGTCGGATTTCCTCGCGAACGTCCCGCGTTTACCGCTGCTGCAGTCGCAGCAGATCTCGTCCTCTGCGTTTCCACGGGATTTTCGTTTTGGTAAATGAAACACTTACGGAACCGAAATTCAGCGTATATTTCTTACACGTCCCATCCGACTCTATCGGAGAAAAATCGACTTTTTTCCAGCAAAATGTAACGAATCCGCCAAAAGCTTTAGCAAAGAAATCGGTACGGGGGATGGATAGGACGCTGCCTGAAATGCCGAAATCCGCAGTCTTTTTTCGTGAGGTTGGACCCTCCCACTGTATCGTGACGCCACGAAACCCACACGGTCCATCTTCCGCCGAGAAGCGATGGAGGAGATGGGCGGGAAAATCGCCTCATCTAAAATATTCCTTTCCGAGCGATGACACCGCTTTCGAGTTCATCCTACCATCGGCGGATTCGTCGGTTTTGTCAAACCGAGCAAATGACCTTCGATCGAGTCGGATAACGCACGTGTTAAAATGTTCATTTCCACAAAGAAGGAAAAGACATCTGACTTCGGATCGTGAGGGGCTCCAGATGCGAGGTCCACCCACGACGAGACCATACTCCGGAATGCCAGCGTCCCCGTTCGAGAGAGTCGGACCCAAGACTACCGAAGACTACAAGGACCCGAACACTGCGAGGATCCGAAGATCGGTCGTGTCCTCCACGAACCCCCGTGACAGCTCCGTCGACGGTTTCCTTCCTGAATTAAAATCATATTTGAAACGCGTTGCGGTTGTCGACCGGTCGTCGACGACACCGCCTCGCCGACGTGCAAGAACCGGAGACTCGGCAGGCGCCCCTCCCCTTCACTCCCCCTCCTCGAAAGGGTGGATCCCGACACCCGGAGTCCTCAAGCGGGATGGCGTGGACCGCCCCGTTGCCCCTCGGCTCCAGCCGAGTCGGCCCCAAGGGGGGGGGGGGGGGGGGCCGCC